TTAGTTCTCCAAAGAATTAGAATACCATCTCCTACCCAAGAATTGAATTCCTCCAAAATCAGGAATTCAATTCCTAATTTTGTGTGAGCCTCACTTACTTTTTAATTCATTAATGTGAAGTAAACGAAGGAATCTTCTATAAGTGGAATTCAATTCCTGATTGGAATTCAATTCATGATGAGAATTCTAATTCCTGATTAGTATATGCAATGTTTATTTCTTATTATTTTCATTACTGAAGGCCATCTAAAAGGTTGGTAATGACAAGTTTGCTATATAGAAGGAAGCCCCGCATCGTTCAATTGGTCATGAAAAGTTGCTATATAGAAGGAAGCCCGCCATTCTTCAGTGGGTCATGAAAAGTTGCGATATAGAAGGAAGCGCGGCATCGTTCTTTATCATCATCGTGGTCAAGGAAAGCAATTGAAAGTATCATAATTTCTGCTAATTGAGGGATGGTTATGTACTCTTGCCATATATATATTTTATAGATACGATATTGCATTAATATAAGCAGCTTTCGTCTCCCTGGATACATTGCACCATATCTCGCAATATACATATCTCTGGCTAGTCTCAGCTTCTGCATCCAGCACTCTCTCTCTCTCTCTCTACTGGTTTAGTCTCGCTTCTTGATGAAGAATATTCGGGGAAGACACAATCTACTGCTGCTATTAAGCACTTTCTTTTTTGGAGGTATGTTATGTAGAAAATGTATTATTAGCTGTTAGAACTTTTAGGGATGAGGTTTTTTGCCACGGTAGGTTTCGTCACGAATTACGGCATTTAATCATGAAATTGATACCCTTTAGAGAACATCAAATTTCTGTAATGGTGGAACCAATAAGCAACTAATTTGAATTTGTTGCTAAACGCATTAATTCCAGTTATCAGCTCGTGACTTGTAAAATTGTCATGGTTGACACCTGTAGCTATCTGCAACGACAAAGTTATTTTCGTTTGAATTACATTTAAGACTCACAATCAAACAGAAGTCCATTTAGTGAAGATTCAATAGAAGGCCTTCAAATTCTGTATATAATGGCTGATGCCTTTAGCCACTCAAAATGGTTTGGGGCAAAAGGTTCAGAAAAAGAAAATGGTTGTCTTTGCCCGCATTTCGTATGGTCACAAAAGAATCATTTGCTAGCTTGAATAAGATCCTTAACAAAATAAATGTCTTGCAGGGTTTGAAGTACTAAATGCTTTACCCTATGATTACACAGCAAGTGCTGAGGCAAGTTTATTTAGTTTTACTTCAATTAATTTTTATCCTGCATTGTTCATTACTTTAATTACTTTGGTTAAATTTTCCGGAGAAATATATCTATTAAAATTTGTCCATCTGTATGTCTTTTTCCAGTGTTTGGAAAATCCTCACAAACCCCAGTATGGTGGAGGGGTCATTGTAAATGCGGAACTAAATGAGGGTTTGAAAGGATGGTCTTCTTTTGGCAATGCCAAAATACAACACAGAGAATCAAAAGGCAACAAATTCATTGTGGCTCTTGGCAGAAACCAACAACATGCCAGTGTTTCTCAGAAGGTTTCCTTGCAAAGTGGCAAGCTCTACACATTTTCTGGTACGCGTGCGTAATTAGAACTTTCTCTCACCGCTTAATGTTGTAATCGGTGATTAGTAATTACTTAATGCAAAAGTAATATTACAATTCCTAAATATATGTGGTTTGTGTTGATGCAGCTTGGATACAAGCAAGTAAGGGTGGTGTTCCGGTGACAGCAATGTTCAAGACAGGTAGTGGAACATATATACGTGCTGGTTCAATTGTTGCAGAATCCAATTGCTGGTCCATGCTCAAGGGTGGCTTCCCTGCCAATGCCTCAGGCCCAGCTGAGCTCTATTTTGAGGTACTTGTTACCAATTATCACATGAATCGGGCAACAAAAGTATTTGCATACCTCTTTAAATCTTACTTCTTTTGTCAAAACATTCATTGCGTTAGACTTGTGATCGAATGTTCTAAAGCCTGGTTGAATTACAGGAATGAAGAACAAACCCATTCATTTCGTTCTTTGTTACAAGCATATGCTCAATCTTCTATAACAGCTCTTACAATAGTCTTTAATATTTCAGAGCAAGGACACATCTGTTGAGATCTGGGTTGATAGCATCTCATTGCAACCGTTCACCGAAGAGGAGTGGAAGTCTCATCAAGATCAAAGCATTGCCAAGGTTAGTTTGGAGACATTATACTTAGTAAATTGATGAATTTTCATCCTGTAGAAATAAAACATGTATCAATCTCAAGCATCAGAATCCGTTATGTGTTTTCGATCACACCCAATGTACTAAAAAAATGTACCCTAGAAGGAATCAAATTGTTATATGCTTGGATTTAATAAGGTTTCGTTACAGACACGTAGTTTTTTTGCAGATTCGTAAAAGCAATGTGAAAATCCAAGCAGTGGATAAACAAGGCAAACCGCTGGCAAATGCAAAAATCTCCATCCAACAGAAGTCTCCAACTTTCCCTTTTGGTTGTTCCCTCACCAAGTACATCCTCAAAAACACTGCCTACCAAAACTGGTTCTTATCGCGAGGTTCACGGTCGCAACTTTTGGAGATGAAATGAAATGGTACAGCACAGAGAATACTCAGGGGCATGAAGACTACTCCGTGGCTGATGCCATGCTTCAGTTTACCAAACAACACAACATTGCAGTCCGAGGCCACAACGTCTTCTGGGACGATCCATTCTACCAACTAGGTTGGGTCAAATCACTCTCTCCACAACAACTTGCTTCGGCTACTCAAAAGAGGCTAAATTCTGTCATGAACAAGTACAAAGGGCAACTAATCGGGTGGGATGTCGTTAACGAAAACTTACACTTTAATTTCTTTGAAAGTAAAATGGGTGCAAATGCTTCAGCCCTCTTCTATAACTGGGCTATTAGAGCTGATGCAGCAACCACTTTGTTTCTAAATGAGTACAATACCATTGAGGAGAGCGCAGATGAAGCGACCACACCGACTAAGTACCTTCGAAAGCTCAAAGAGATGCGAACATTTCCAGGAAATGAGAGAGGACGATTTGCCATTGGGCTTGAGTCTCATTTTACAACTCCTAACATCCCTTACATAAGATCTTCTATTGATACTCTTGCTGCTGCCGGAGTGCCAATTTGGATTACAGAATTGGACGTGGCAAATGGTCCGAAACAGGTAAGAAATAAAGGAGATCACATTGTGTGCTTGAATAGCACACAACTTAAATTCCGAATCACACACATAAAGCAAGGTCCACAATAAACCCCAAATTCCAATTTGCATTAGATGAGTCTTCTAGATTACCAAGCAACTTGATAATTGATTCTAATACATAAAACATTTTCTAGATAAATGTACCGGGCTCTAAGGTATATGATACGTCCCAAGTTCGAATTCTCCTTCCTTATTGATAAAAAAAAAACAAGTAACACTATAGTATTTGACTGAATACTTTAAATCTTGTGCATTATTTTATCAGGGATTCTAGCATGCCACTAACAAGCTCAACTTTCTGTTTACATGGGCAGACATTATACTTGGAGCAGATTCTGAGGGAGACATACGCTCACCCTCACATTCAAGGAATTGTTCTGTGGGCTGGACCAACCGAAAAGGGATGTTACAGAATGTGTTTGACAGACAACATTAATTTCAAAAACCTGCCTAATGGTGATGTTGTGGACAAATTAATACATGAATGGGGTTTGAAGGGCCTGGTTTCTGCCACAACAGACGCTAAAGGTTTCTTTGAGGCCTCCCTTTCCCATGGAGATTACGACGTGAGCATCACTCACCCAAATTCAAAATCCTCCTCCTTGGTTCAGAGATTGAATGTCAAATCAACTGCTTCGTCCCAGAAGCCCTTGTTTCTCAAATTCTCTTCTTGAGATTTTGATTTCTCTTGGGCATTTTTGTTGTCCTGTTTTCATGGAACATTTAATTTTAGAATTACCCAGAACATACCAAAATTTCTCTATTTTTAAGAAAACTCTCTGTATATATGCTATTTGTTTTTAGAACCTGTACATATGTAATTATATACCTTTTTGGCATTGAACAAATTTAATAATGATCTTGGAAATTCAGGGCAATACAGTAATTAAACTCAAGTTTTACTCCTCCGCTAAGGAAAACGTGTGACAATTGGTTTTCTTTTATTCTTTTATTCTTTTAGAATTAAAAAAAATAATGGGTAGTTGTGTTCCATAAAAAATAAAGGATTTATTATCTGATTTTTCTATTAATTTTAATTTTTTTAATATGAAAAAGGAAAACGTGTGACAATTGGTTTTCTTTTATTCTTTTATTCTTTTAGAATTAAAAAAGATAATGGGTAGTTGTGTTCCATAAAAAATAAAGGATTCATTATCTGATTTTTCTATTAATTTTAATTTTTTTAATATGAAAAAGTGTGAATTTACCATATTATCCTCATTTAATTAATAATTTCAATTCTTAATGTTTGCATTAACTAAGGCATTTTTTGGTATTTTGAATGTTTTACCATTCTCTGCATTTTGTTTTATATATATAGATATATCCCTTTATAATAGTAGAGATAGATGAAGTTCTAGGAAAAGTAGTTTAAAATTTTAATAATGATCTTAGAAATTCAGGGCAATACAGTAATTAAACTCAAGTTTTACTCCCCCAATGAGAAAAACTTGTTTCCTTTTTATATTTTGATTAACTTACTTTCCGAAAACCTCAATTAATTATATATCTTTTCCGAATCCAAAAGGGAATAGAACAAAATAAAGTAAATAAAAAACTTGCACATTACGTTGAGTTTGACTAGGAATGTTAGTCCTGGTTATGATTGGTATTCTTCCAATTGAATATATATGTTCGTATCATCGGGGAGAAAGTAGAATTAAGAAAGAAAAAAACAAAAACAGAGTTGTTTATTCGATTGGAGACAGAGAGAGAGAGAGAGAGAGAGAGAGAGAGTGAGGGAATGGCAAGAATGTTACGGCGAAAAAGAGTGAGAATGGCTAGACTATCCTCGTCAAGTGGAGATTCAGATGACGAAGTACCTCTAAGGGCCAGGCACCAGAGATCTGGTGCTCGAAGGCCTTTTTCATGGTTACGTGAAGATTCAGATGAACAAGTTAGTTTGAGGCCAAGGCATAAGAGAGCTCGTGTCAGACGTTTTTATGAGGAAGAAACCGAAGAGGAAGAAGAGGAAAGTGATGAATATGGAGGAGAAGAGGCTGGAGAGGGAAGTGGCGAATATGGAGGAGAAGAGGTTGGAGAAGAGGAAAGAGACGAATATGGAGGAGTTGGAGAAGAGGAAAGATATGAATATGGAGGAGAAGAGGTTGGAGAAGAGGAAAGATATGAATATGGAGGAGAAGAGGAAAGATATGAATATGGAGGAGAGGTCGGCAGAGAAAGGGAAGAAGAAAGAGACTTCCTTAATCATATCGAAGGGGCAGGGGAAGAGGAAGATCCAAATAATGAAGCACAAGTACATGAACAGCAGCAGGATGGGTCTCAATCTCATGTTTCCATAACCCTAACCGACCCAGAATTGTTTGATTGCCCTATTTGCTGTGAGCCCTTGACCATCCCTGTCTACCAATGCGACCAAAACGGGCACATAGCTTGCTCCTCCTGCTTCGCAAAGATTAACAACAAATGTCCCTCTTGTTCCGGGTTCATTGGATTCAGTCGTTGCCGCGCAATCGAGAAGGCTCTTGAATCAATCAAAACATCATGCCAAAACATCAAGTATGGATGCAATCAATCTTTCACTCTCCATAAAAAGGTTGAACATATAAACGCATGTGTGTATTCACCTTGCTCTTGCCCCCATTGCAACTTTGTCTCTCCAGATATTGAGTTATACCAACACTTCAGAATCAGCCATGCGACTTTCGCAACGCAATTCAAGTACAACTGTTTTTTTTCTGTTTCGTTGAATGCCGAAGCAAGCTTTCTTGTTCTTCAAGAAAAGAATGATGATACATTATTTGTCCTCAAGAAAAATTATGTTGAAGATGTAGGAAATTCAGTGAAAGTTACTTGTATACAACCCGGCTTCAGGAAGGGCTTCTTATATCAGCTTCAAGCGAAAGCCAAGAAAACGTCTCTCAAATTGGAGGCCTTCACAGAGAGCACTCCAAGCCGGCAGGCAATTGATAATCCTAAAACAGGGTTTCTTTTAATTCCATGTGATTTTATCAGTCCTGGTGGCCAGCTCAAGATGGAAATCTGCATAGAGTGTTTTGAGATGTATTAATTTATAGAAAATATAATGTAAGTTAATATATTTTTGCTTCTTCTTAAAGCCAAAATTCGGCTATATTGCATATGTACTAGCTAGAACTCAACTCAAAATTTGTTTACAAAACTTTTTAGTATATATATATATATATATATCTTGCATTTTGGAGTTTAACGAATCAATGATCTGAATAGTTATATGGTTTTCATCTTCTTAACTAATTTACCCCTAAACAAAATTAAAGATAAAGGTTTTGTTGTCCTTCATCATCTTCTTAACTAATTTACTCCTTAATATAAATCTTTTGGCTTAATTATTTCAAATTATTCTTTAAGAAGATATTAGTCAATAAATATTAGGAAATACGAGGGAAAACTGTTGGATTGAAATTCTGAAGCTAATTGGCTTAATCAAGATATTGTAAACACGAGTTCATCGTATACACATCCTATTTCCTATTTACACAACTGCTTTACTAAATAATTGTCATTAGCACTCTAAAGTAGTCATCGAGCACTTTTCCTCTTTTATTTTCTTCGTTATAGGGAGAAGCGGTATATGTGACTTCACAAGTGCTTCATGAAGCTCAGATTTGGAGATATAGCTAGTGTCATGCAGAGGCTAAGCTTGTGATGGCATTGCCAATTAAATTTGAATTTGATGTTTGGCATTTAAATTTGAAATCTCCCTTGGACTATCCGTTTACCAAAAATCTTGATTCTTGTCTTCCCAAAACAAGTCTTATTACCCATTACGATTATGATTGAAAAGGGAATGGCAAGAGTCTCTATTATGATTGATATCCTTCCAAATGAGGCCTATATATTATTCATTGTTTATTAGTATCAACTCCATCGAGGGAAAATATTTTAGAAAGAAAAAAAGTAGGAGAGAGTGAGGGAAATGGCCAGATCCTCGGGCAATGGAGATTCTGATGCCCTAGTTAACATCAGGCCAAGGCATTAGACCTCGTCAGACGTCTGCCACGAGACATTTCTTGTAAAAACTGGTATATGTAAACTAACAATTCTAGTCACTTCTTGCAAAGTGATCAAGTTTATTTCTCACCATGGATCAAGAGGTGGCTACTTCTCTCATTTTATTTCATCCCTCGATATTGTTTTCCAGATTTAAATTTGATACCTTGAAGCTCTCATTAAGCAACTTTGGATATATGCATATCTATTAGCTAGTGTCATGCGCAGAGGCTAAGCGTGATAGCATTGCCCACTATTTTGAGAAGAAATGATGGCATTTGCAGGCCTAAACATTGGCCAAAATGCCACATGGGCTACCAAATGTTTGGCATTTGAAATCTCCCTTGGACAAAAGGGTTTTTTTTATCAAAAGAAAAGGCTAGGTCTTTTCGTTTACCCAAATCTTGATTCTTGGATTCTCCAAAAATCAGAATAAAATAAGCAAAAAAAAAGTATTGCACATCACGGTGAGAGTGAAAAGAGAATGCCAAGAGTCTATTATGATTGCTATTCTTCCAATTGAGGCCTATATAGCCTTGTATTGTTCATTGTATGTTAGTATAAACTCAACCAGATTATTCGATTGGAGAGAGTGAGGGGAATGGCAAGTGTTCAATATGAAGCAGAAGTTGGTGGAGAAAGTGAAGAAGAAAGTGGCGACGTTGACCATATGGAAAATTATGAAGCACAGCCCAATATTGAAGCACAAGTACATGAACAGCAGGATGGCTCTCACTCTCATGTTGTCATAACCCTAACTGACCCAGAATTATTCGATTGCCCTATTTGCTATGAACCCTTGACCATCCCTGTCTACCAGTGTGACCAAAATGGGCACATAGCTTGCTCCTCCTGCCGTACAAAAATTAACGACAAATGCCCCTTCTGCTCTGGGTCTATTGGATTCAATCGTTGCCGTGCGATCGAGAAGGCTCTTGAATCAATCACAACATCATGCCAAAACATGCAGTATGGATGCAAAGAATCTGTGACTTTCAATAAAAAAGGTGAACATAAAAAGGCATGTTTGTATTCACCTTGCTATTGCCCCCATTTAAATTGCAAGTTTGTTTCTTCAGCCAAGCAGTTATACCAACACTTCAGTAGTAGCCACGTGAATTCCGCAACACAATTCGAGTACTACGTCATTTTTCATGTTTCATTAAATGCTGATGACAACTTTCTTGTTCTTCAAGAAAAGAAAGGTGGTACATTATTTATTCTCAAGAGGCATCATGTTGAAGATCTAGGAAATGCTGTGACAATTAGTTGTATACAACCCGGCTTCACGGGGGGCTTCTTCCATGAGCTTGATGCGAAATCCAAGGAAAATTTTCTCAGATTGGAATCTTTCACAAAGAGCACTCCAAGCCGGCTGGTAATTGATGATCGCCCTCCCAAAACCGGTTTTCTTTTAATCCCGTTTGATTTTATCAGTTCTGGTGGCCAGCTCAAGATGGAAATTTGCATATGGCCTGAAGGTGCCTCCCCTTCACCTTAGAAGTAACCATGTTACTAAAATATAAGTAATGTTATATGTTATTTTAGCCTGGGAAAAGATTGTTTGGTACCATATCGAGATACCGATTTACAACATCAGGTACAAGCCTTGTTAGTTTTTCTTGTTAGTCCCTCAATTATTAGTTGGCTATGTAACTGAAAATGTTTTTGCTATTTCTGCAAGCTAACATTAAGAACTCAGAATTTTAATGTTAGCTACTAATTAATCAAAGCAAGGATTTTGTTAAGGTTTATAATGAATTAATTATATGCATGTTAGCTTGGATTCAACTCAACATATGTTCACACAAAAATTTAATCCCTAATGGTTGAAAATGTTGAGAAGAAGAGAGACTCTGGCTTTGATCAAGTGCCTTAACAGGCACTCAAGTCCTTCTTCTATATCTTGAAAGTTTGCCTCCAAATCCTGGAGCCAAATTTAAACATTCTCGACTTGCATTGCATAATCAGATTTCTTAGACTTGTGAGTAATAAGGGCATTCAATGCAGCATCCACCCTCTCAAGTTCATTCGTAGAGGCAAGGTATTTTCTAACCTCACTCATGAAGCTCATGTCACCTCCTCGTCTTCTGCGCATAATGGATTGAAGTTCATGTGTGCACTCCTTTGTTTGCAAAAGGGCATCCTTAATGATGCCACACACATCCAGGAGCCTCAAAGATCCATCTAGTAGTTCATTGATCCATTTGTCTCCACACTCCTGGGATAAGGTTTGGCGAGAGTGTGTCAATAGAAGAAACTTCTCAACACAATCATGCAAATCTTGGAAAAGAGAAAGGTCTTGTACTTTGCAGTTGAATGTTCAATTTGGTGTTTCAGTTTGCTTTCCTTCCTTTTGGCATCTGCTCAATATATATCACACGGTTCTGGACTGGAGACAAGAGCAACTCATCCTCTTCACAGCTGAATCAGTCCCAACGTGATTTCGATCTGGATCCAAAAACTATATCAGCGATGTTTATGCATTGTCTCCCCACCACCGGATCACAAACCCCATCAGCACCTATATTTTACTTATAATATATAGCGTGAGTATCTTCAATTCGGTAACTAATGTCATGGGATGCAATGCACAATCAACCATAAAATATGTAGAACACGAGTGGTATTGTACCATCTCTCTCTCTCTCTCTCTCTTACATTGTCTGTGTCAGAATCATTCATCACCTTCCATTTCCTACCAACTGGTTTTTTAATATCATACACATGCATATGCTGCTCGTGTTCGAAAAATCGGCCTAGGCGGCCGCTTAGGAGGCGCCTAGGCGCGGCCTGGGCGGGTCTGGGCGCCTGGGCGGATCCTTCATATCCGTGAGCTTTAGGCGGCACCATGTGGTAAACTAAGCGAAGAAGATTTGGCTGGATCTGCTCCACGAGCTTGCGGCGGCAGCACCAGGTGGTAAACGCGAAGAAGATGACCTAATGGAATATGCTGTACGCATCGTTTTGTTGGGTAGGAGTTATTAAGCTATACGTATCGTTTTGGTGGTTAGGAGTTATGGGCCCAACAAACAAAACCCTTTCGGTCTATACCCAAAAATTGCAATGTAATATTTTTAACTAATATGTTAATTAAATAATAGAGTATTATTATTAGAAAATTAGTTAAATTATTCTTAACTTTTTCCCATGTTTTATATCAATTATGGTACTTTCTAATTTAGGCGTCTAATTTATATATCATTTTATTTTGCATGATTTTGGTATAAATTTATAATTTATAATACAAAATAATTATAAATAATATTAGAAAGAAACGCCTAGGTCCCGATTACTCCTTTAGGCACTAAGCCCATGCCTGCTGCTCGATTGTTGGAAGGACCTGATGAAACTTAAGGCTAGGGCTTCCTTCTGTTGGAAGGACAAACAGGATACAATTTGGCATGTTCCCCTTGGTATAATCATCCTTTTAACCAATGCGGAAGGAAGATTGCTTTGTAATAAATATAGAGTCCTTTTCTCCTTCTATGTTGAGAAAAAAAATAGTAAACCCCACATTGAAAAAACATAACATTTGTTAACTACTTTATATTGCTAACTCCTAAAATTTTGATTGCCGAGCCTAGTAACGTGGGCTTGTGACCCAACGTGGGGGCATTAAAGGCGGAACATGGGAAGGTCTTGTTAAGACGCGGACAACAGGTCCAGTGCCGGTGTTTGCCCCTATGGTTATAATAGGCGTCTACAAAGATGCTGAGGGGCCACTTATTTGGCTCCCAAGTTGAAGGCTAATCTCAATTGGCTGGTTGACAGCATTGTGGGAAGGCAGTTGACTTATCAGAGCAGCTGTGGCCGACATAACGGCATCTGATCTCACTCTAGGCTGATTGAGATCCGCTCTTGACTTGACGAATGACCACCACCTTTTTACCTCCCTCCTCCCATAACCCACGATGCCAGCCCAAATACATCATCTATCTAATATCAAATTCATGCCCAATTTGCTTTGTAAATATTCCAATTATTATCATGCTATCCATGGCGTCTATTAAAGTTAATTCAGAGAACATCTTCCAAACAGATAGAGACCAAGATTAAGAAAAATTACAAAAAAAGGAAAGTCAGTGTTTGACCCGAAACAAATTTGTAGAGGCCAAGAATATTTAAACTATTAATGCAAAAGTTTCATCCTCACGTGGGATAATCTCAAAAAATTCAAAGGAGTTTCTGAAATTATGATTGAGATCACATGGGATTTATGCAAGCAAATCAAATATATCAAGGGAGATGGTAAATAATCAACAACTAATGTCTAATAGCATTCAAAGGAGTATTTGACTCCCACACGCTTTGAGCAGTAAACATTATACCAAGAAGGATGTCTAAACTCGGCCATATGGTTGTGATGTATACTTGCACGAAGCATACACAATAAATTCTCCAAAGGCCTATAATTCCATACAGGAAAATTTCAGAACTGCTCGTAATAGAGTTTTATTCCTTTTTCTCTTCTCTCTTGAAAAAACTGTAGGTCTCACATTGAAAAAGTATAATACTTATTATGTACTTAATATTGTTATATATGAATTTACAAGATGATATATATGAATTTACTCTAATTTCCCTGGAAGAAGGACTTGAGTGCCTTTTTAGGCAATTGATCCTCACATGCTTTAAACAGTAAACATATGCATGCCGCCTTTCTGTTAGACTTCAAAAAACTGAACTCTATAATAAGTTCATACTTTAAGGTCTTCTATCTTCTCACAAGACACAAGAGGGATGTCTCACACGCCTTGAGCAGTAAACATAAGATAAGACCAAGAGGGATGTCTATACATGGCAATACGATTGTGTTGCGTACTTGGAGAAATTTTGGACCTTGGGATAGACTCTTCGCTTAAATTGCTACTCCGTACTCTCCTTGTTCTTGTTTAAAATATCAGTGAATTTTGGTGCCTATATGGTTAACTATTACTAATCCTGAATTCCTGCAATTATCTTGCTATTTTGCCTAAATAAGGCCTTGAGCTTAATTACAATATGATCTTGCTTGCTGCAATATCATCAATTTTTTTTAATCAATGGGTATCCATGTGTAGACGACAGGATTTGAATTTTACATTTCTTTAACATTGAGAATAAAGATAGTAGAAACACTAAAAAAGATTTCTCTCCTGAAAAAACAGTAAATCCCACATTGGAAAAGTATAACACTTGTGAAGTACTTAATATTGTTAACTCCTAAAATTTTGATTGCCGAGCCTAATAACACGGGCTTGTGACCCAATGTGGGGGGATTAAAGGTGGAATGTGAAATTGGTCTTGAAAACCTACGGCCCAGTGCCTTAAGTTCAGCCCATTGTTTAATTGCACTACTTAGTGGCCCAGCCACAAAAGTAGCTTTCTACAAAGACGCCAATGCCCATGACTTTGTGGTGCCCTATGCTGGTGGCTTATTTGTGGAAAGGCAGTTTGGCTTACCAGAGCAGCTGAGCCCGCCCACTACGAACTCATTGGGCCAGGCCGAGGTGGTCTACTCTTGACCTCTGACCGCCACCTTTTTACAAGTTTTATTTTTAACTTGAATTTTAATCATTTTTATTTATTTAACTTTCTTTTTTTTCCTTTTGTTTTTTATGGCATTAAAATTTAATTTGTGTAGAGAGCATGCATCAAGCTAGTGCCATCCATTAATTCAAGAACGGGAGGAAGGGAGTTGAATGCAAATACATCCTCTGATATCAAATTCAAATCATGTTACCTCTCTCAGGATTCCATGTCCCCCAACTCAACCTACCCTATACATTAAGCAGACGCATATGGAAGAGAACATTTGCCACAACAAGAAGAAATGGCTTTCCACATCCGCTCCAACAGCTTCCCATCAAGGCCACACCCGTTCAAGAAGTCGATGAACATTTGCGTAGATTGAGATCCTTCTGGGGCCACCTCCACATCCTCCTCATCAGTCAGAGCCACAAACTAAGTGGACTCCAAGACTTGCATCATCCTAAACCACTAGATATATAGTAGCTTTTTCAATTTTTGTACATAAAAAACATACATGTGTATACAGATCATCCTCTGGATATCAAATTGATTATACAAAATGATTACTGATTTGCTTAACTGTCAATTATTATTATTCGCATTCGTTTTCGGAACTGATCTAAAGTTCTTGCAACCATTGAAACAAAAATTCTACCATTTCCATCCTCTTTCATCTATACTTGGCGTCAATCTAGAAAATTAATGGGGGGGAAAAAATTTACCCTAGTCTAATTACAAGATGATATATATGAATTTACTCTAATTTCCCTAGAAGAAGGACTTGAGTGCCTTTTTAGGCAATTGATCAAAACAAAACTCTTCTCGACATATTAAACCACTAGAGATATATCAGCTTTTCAATTTTTGATCAATTTCGAAGAACAAAAAAAAAACCAATGAGAAATAGAGCAAAAAGGTTTTGGTTCAATTGGGACAGTCTTGCGGGCCATGATGGATCTAAGTGCCCACCGCCCCGTTTTCCTTCCA